GATCCGGCCGTCCACGGCCGCAGCATCATAGTTGCGGGATATGTAGGAACCTCCAACCATGTCCAGGATGACATCAGCCCCTTTGCCGGATGTCATTTGCTTGACCTCGGCAACAAAATCCTGTGTCCGGTGATTGATCGCCCTGTCGGCACCAAACTTCAGGCAGGCTTCGCATTTTTCGTCTGTGCCCGCCGTGACTATGACATAGGCCCCAAAGTGTTGTGCAAGCTGGATGGCCGTTGTACCGATGCCGGATGTTCCACCGTGCACCAACAGCGTCTCGCCCGGCTGCAAACAGCCTCGCTGGAACACGTTGTGCCAAACGGTGAAGAAGGTTTCCGGCAGGGCGGCAGCTTCTGTCAACGTCAAACTGCCGGGAACCGGAAGCGCCTGGCCGGCCGCTACCGCAACATATTCGGCGTAGCCGCCGCCATTGACCAGCGCGCATACGTTGTCACCAAGCTTCCAGCGCCTGCTCCTGCTGCCAAGTGCAACCACTTCGCCTGAAACTTCCAGCCCCGGCAGGAGAGAATGGCCTTGGGGCGGCGGATAGGCTCCCTGCCGCTGCAATACATCCGGCCTGTTGACGCCCGCCGCTACGACCCGGATCAGAATTTCGTCTTCAGCAACCGGAGGAACCGGCATGGTAACCGGTTTGAGCACTTTCGGGCCGCCCGGTTCGCTGATTGCAATGGCGGACATGGTTTGTGGCAGGTGCATGAGTCTCGTCCATGGTTTGGCTGGTGCTAGGCGATGTGTTGATTTGCAGCAGCCTTGGCCGCTACACTCCATGCTAAACAACTGTGGCGCAAGGAGGAACGCATGGCGCTTTTTGATGATGATCGCCCAAAGAAAGTTGCCGCACACGAAATCGGGCAGGACCTGTCGCTTCTCTCCGTCGCCGAATTGGAAGGGCGAATCATGATTCTGAAGGCCGAGATTGATCGCCTTGATGCCGACATGAAACAAAAGTCCGCCACCAAGTCAGCTGCGGAATCCCTGTTCAGGAAAGGCAACTGATCGGGCAGGCCCAACACAGGCATGCATCCGGATTTGACCAAGGCGCGACATTGCTTTGTGTCTTGCCATTGCCACAGTGATGGCCGAAACAAGCCGCAAGTTTCCTTTGTCCGGTGCGTCCATGATTCGTGCGATTCTCCCCGTCCTATCGCTGCTCATCGGCACACTGTTTCTGCTGACGGCAAGCGGTATGCAGAGCATGATCATGCCGTTGCGCGGCCAGTGGGAGGGCTTTTCGCTGACCGAACTTGGCCTGCTTGGCACCGGGTGGGCAACCGGCTTTGTCGCTGGCTGCCTTCTCATTCCCCGGCTTATCGGTCGCATCGGACACATCCGCGCCTTTGCTGCATTCTGCTCGCTCTCGGCTGTTGTGGCCCTGTTGTCGGGATTGATCGTGGACCCCCTGCCCTGGTTCGCCATGCGCGTTGCGACCGGTTTTGTCATGGCAGGCGCATTCATGGTGCTGGAAAGCTGGCTGAACGACCGCGCCACCAATGAAAACCGCGGAATAGTTTTCGGCCTCTATCTGATGATTACCTATGTCGGCATCACAATCGGCCAGATGTCAGTCTACAAGGGTTCGTTCCTTGGACCGAATATGTTCATCATCACAGGCATCGTTTACTGCCTTGCCTTATTGCCGACCGTTCTGGGTTCGGGCGATTCCCCATCCTTGCCGGAAGAAGCAAGGCTGGACCTGCGGGC